AGACAGCATTTAACAATGCAATAATTTCTTTTTCATTAATTTTAAACAGAAAATTGAACAAAAGTTGAAGTTAGTTTTAAAATTTATTTCTCATTTGTGTCCGATCTCAAAACTAACGATTTTTGCCGTTCGTTAACGCAATCTTCCGTTCGTTAACGCAATCTTCCGTTCGTTAACGCAATCTTCCGTTCGTTAATGAGATCTTCCATTCGTTAATGCAATCTTCCGTTCGTTAACGCAATCTTCCGTTTGTTAACACAATCTTCAATTAGTTAACGCAATCTTCCGTTCGTTATTGCAATCTTCCGTTCGTTAACGCAATCTTCCGTTCGTTAACGCAATCTTACGTTCGTTAATGCAATCTTCTGTTCGTTAATGCAATCTTCTATTCGTTAACGCAATCTTCCGTTCGTTAACGCAATCTTCCGTTCGTTAATGAAATCTTCCATTCGTTAATGCAATCTTCCGTTCGTTAACGCAATCTTCCGTTCGTTAACACAATCTTCAATTAGTTAACGCAATCTTCTGTTCGTTAACGCAATCTCCCGTTCGTTAACACAATCTTCAATTAGTTAACGCAATCTTCCGTTCGTTATTGCAATCTTCCGTTCGTTAACGCAATCTTCAATTAGTTAACACAATCTTCCGTTCGTTAACGGATGCTGTCGTTAACCTTTTTAAACTTGCTGTGCGTTTCCGGAACATTGCCAAGTTCTAAGTACAAAGTACTCTCTCGAGAGAATAGTTTATTTTAAATAATGTAAACAGATTACGAATGAATATATCATACAAATGCTCAGAAATAGTATTACTATAAGGGGACACACCTTAATTAAAAAAGGGTTACAATTATATAATTCAAACACTAAGTACAATGTAAAGCCATCTTTTTAAATGACCGTAAACTTTGTTTAATGCCAGGCAAATTAAACTAAAGTAAAGTTACAGGATTTAAGTTTAATGCTATAGGCACGTTAAACAGAAGTAAAGTTACAGGATTTAGGTTTAATTCTATAGGCACGTTAAACTAAACTAAAGTTACAGGATTTAAGTTTAATGCTATAGGCACGTTAAACTGAAGTAAAGTTACAGGATTTAAGTTTAATGCTATAGGCATGTTAAACTAAACTGAAGTTACAGGATTTAAGTTTGAATTAAAGTAAATTGTGCATCAGATTGAAATCTGAAATGTTTTCAATTAAAATTTCCATTAATGAAGAGATATTTAGAAGAACAAAAATGTTTTTAAATCTGGGGGATAAAACTCGACTTTTTAAATTTCAAGTTTGAAGCTTGGTTGAAAAGTCTGTGCCAACACCCAGTTATTGCAAAGTTTAACTCCAACTACAACATGTTGTTCCATCCTGTTCTGTTTTGGTGGGATGTGACTTAAGTAAAGATAAGTCAAGACTCAAATTTCCAAAGTTTTGCCCTCTGGTCTAAATATACCTGATGAACCAAGCAGTGAAAAGTGACAAGGAAATCCAGAAAATAAATCTGACCAGGAGTTCGAACTTGTTCATTTTTTCACTCTAGAACATTTTAAAACATTGATTCAGCTGTTTCTGGATCTAGGATTTCTCGACTAGGTTAAACTGTAGTAAAATTGATATCTTATACAGTGATTACCAGAAAACTCTGGAATAGTATGACGACTTTGAGAATAAAGTTTTAACTTTAAAGTTCAGCAACCACGAAACACAGTAATTTTGCAGTGTAAACAGACCCATTTCACACACAAAAAGTAATTTTTTAAGTGTCTGGTAAAACTATTTGCTTTGTAACACCATAATGTCGTCTTCCTATTCCATTGTTATCTAGTTATTACTGTATGTTCATAATCATAACTCCTCTCATTGAAGAGTGTTTGGGAAGAACCAAAAATGTTTTGATTTTTCTAATATATTACAGGATAAATTTTCTAATCTCATAATTATAGTCAAAAATAGAGGAGCTACGAGGTCACAAAGCCGTACCAGTAAGTCTCACTATGTCTAGGTTGCAGTCAAGGTAATAATGCAAGGAAAGTTATTTCAGAGCTGTACGCATCTTTTGTACTACAGTGTACTGTCTCTGGGCGGTGATGTAAACATAAGACGGATGTCACTGCCTGACATGGGAATTGGGATCCACCTTTCACATAAAAAATCAATGAAATATTTTGGTTCTAGGAAACTATTATGTGAATTATCAAAATTATCAAAATTTAATGCTTTTATCCTTCTCGATACTGATGCATCTATTCTTTTTTACAAATTCCGCCCAGAGAGAACTGGTTTCAATATGTACGCAGAGTATACGCAACTGCAATTAACTTTCCTTGCATTATAACCTTGGTTGCAGTGAGCTGGATATTGTAATTGTGATATCGAAACCTAAGCCGCAGAATTTAGTTCGGAGGGGAAATGCTATTAATGGTGGACTTAATTTAAAGTGACCCTCCATGCAAAGATGGCAGTTCCCGATTCACAACGGTACCCTTAATAGCTTTGTTAGATCAAATATGCAAATTGTATATCAATGTTTATAATTCATTATACTGATAGTTTTCAACTGTGGTTTCTCTACAACAGTGATTTCACACTTCTAAAACTGCAAGAAAACATAAAGGAATTATCAGAAATAAAAACTTTTAAACCAAGAAAAATTACAATATCTTCCACATTATTGAGAAGATAACGGTTTCAGGGGTACCGTTGTAAATTGGACAGTGTCATCTTTGGATTGAGGGTCATTTGAAATTACGTTTACAGTCCCTCAACGCACCTCTGCCCCTTTAGTAAAAGTAAATTCAACCTAACTGAAAGTCTGACCACGTCAACCTTGTTGCACCGGTTAGTCCTATCCATAGAGCTAGGTTTAGTACGAACTGGGACCGGAAAGGTTGACCCGGCTCGGAAATTCAAATGTACTACGACTGCCCATGCCTCAAAGACATCATTGAAGTTTGATCACTGACTAACAACTACAGTTGATCTTTTGTACTGTGGATATCGAGATCAATGCTTGATCTCAATCTTTTGTTAATTTACGTACAGATGAATTACATCTTTATTCGATATCCTGCAGTAATATTGCATTCTCAAGGGAAAACTGAAATAAAGAGATTAAGCATTAATCCTCAAATCAAAAGTGCCAACATGAGTATTCAAATATTTAAATATTTAAATTTGAATTCAGATTGGTGAGCGAGGTATACTTATATTTTTCAAAGATTTTTATAAGTTCCGGTGGGCGGTTGGCTCAATTTCAATATTAATAATGTTTTAAAGAAACATATATTCTTGGATTATTTAGAACTGTCTTAGTAGATGGGTGGTAAACGAGTGCGACAATAACATAACCTCATAAAAATAGATAATAAAAAATAATAACATATGCTGAAATGGTTAACTATAAATACAGGATTATAATAAAATTTGTTGAATATATACATAAATGATGATTATGAAGAACATAAATCTTTTTAAAGAAAAAGTTTGGTTAATATCTTTGATTAGAGAAAAAAATTTGCATAATGTAATAAAATCAAACTTTTAGAGAATACAATTTTGCAGTTTAATTAATAACTCACATTTTAAACGTCAATAAAAACCTAAATGTCTGAAAACGGTCCTGAAACGATGCCCATACCTAGTGACAAGCTAAATGAATTGAGTCTTTGCAACACAATCATGTTTTAAAATCCCTGTATCTTTGCAACCTTTAATATTTCAAACTTCTATTATTTGATCAACCAGAGCTGAGATGGAATTTAAAGAATTTGAGCCGCGGTTTAAATCTGCCAAACCCCGGTTTAAATTAAGCGCCGGCTTTAAAATGGTGGATATCGAGATTAATGCTTGATCTTCTCTTTTACTTAATATCGAGACTAACCTTGTATCCTGAAAAGTGTATAAACCAATCAGAGTCGCGTATAAGAAGCCGATAAATTTGAAACTTGCGCGCCATTTAAGATTAGTATTCAGAAACGTAGTAAATTGCTACACTGTTGAAATTTTTTTTTCGATTTTCGCATCATTTACAATCTAATGCATTTTTAAGTCACAAAATTTGGTTCGAAATTGTGAATATCATGATAAAGATTTATTGAAAACTTTTACATTCCTAAAATTCTGTTCGCAATTTCGATCAATGTTTTTTAGTAAATTCCGTATTCGTTTTTTTTTCTGATATGTATTACGGTTCTAAAAAACGTTTGGTTTGTCAATTATATTAAAAACAAATAAAAAAATTTAAATATTAAAGTGAAGTATAAGTTAGGTAGTCTTTTTAAACTTTTAGAGCATGAAAAAGTTTCCTTTTTATATTCACTAATTAATTCTTGTACAAATTTGTTAAACGTTCAAACTTTAAATACTTCTATAATATTTATAAAACTTTTAAGGATTAACAAAATGTAAATGCGCCGCTACAAAAATCCGCAATTCATGTTTTTATTTGCGGGTTCTCTGGAAAAGTGACTTGTGCATTTCTTGTTTACATAAATTATCCGAATAAAACACTTTTCGAGTTTCAAAAACTACGGTATCTTCCACATTTTTTTTATCAGAGTAAGGTTTCAAAGGTACCGTTGAAAATCGGGCATTGCCATCTTTACATGGAGGGTAATATATAAATACCCTTGCATTCTCTTTATTTGTGGCATACTGCAGGACACCCTTATATTTACCAAAACAATAACAAGGATGGTAAACAAATGTGCACCTTTTACAAAGTTACCCACAAAGGATGAGATTGATGACCTAAAACTTTGGGTTTCTGCCTTGAATGCAGTCTTCATGTGGCATTTTTCAAAGATTTTGCAAAAAAGTTTACGGGTGCAGGAGGCTAGGAATGTAAGAATAAAGACTAAATAGATTCTGTGCTGAAGTCGTAGATTCTGTGCTGAAGTCGTAGATTCTGTGCTAAAGTCGTAGATACTGTGCTGAAGTCGTAGATTCTGTGCTGAAGCCGTAGATTCTGTGCTGAAGTCGTAGATCGTAGATTCTGTGCTGAAGTCTGTGCTGAAGTCGTAGATTCTGTGCTGAAGTCGTAGATTCTGTGCTTAAGTCATAGATTCTGTGCTGAAGCCTCTTTCTTTGTGGATAACCCTGTCTCTTGGTTTGAAACAAAGACTTATCTCTGGTTTAGAGGATACCTCGGAGCTGTAAGGACAGGATGGTTCATCATTCTCTGGAGGAGAGAAGGTTTAGAGAGAAAATCCCACGATAGAGAAATTGGATTATAAATTGAGATGATGACTCCTCTCCTCCGCTAGTTTACCACCAATTCTCTACGTCTGAAGTTATAAAGATAAATAGCGTAAACAACTCGTTTATTAGCAATGAACGATACATACGACACGAACGTCTGGAGCGTGCTTGAACGAATTCGGAACCAGGGTTTAGAGGATTATGAGTACGAGGAGTTTAACGATACCGACGATGAGCCAGGTTCATTAGTTTTTACCCTTATCTCGACTGTGAAATTTTCAGTATATTATTCATAGGGAAAACAAAACGACGGAATGATTTTTTTCAATCAAAAACATTCCTTTTAATTCAGAAAAGAATTAAAATGTAATCTTTCTAATCCCCATCAACCTGATGGCGTAAACCTTTAATATTTCATACTTAGACTAATTGTTCTGACAGAAATATATAATAATTTTATTCTATATTTAGTTATTTAGTATTTACATGTACAAATAACATGACCACTATTATTGATAGCTTTTAAATGAGAAATCTTTCTCTATAATTTTGCTTTGATATTAAACTTCCCCTAATTTGAGATTTTTAACCCAAAACAGGCTGGGGGGGGGGCGTTTTTTTTGTCCTAGGACACTTTTTTTTGACACTATTACTATCAAATTTTGTGACTTTAATGAAAAGTAAATAAAAAAAATATATTTTTTGTTAAAAAAATATATTTTTTGTTAAAAAAATATATTTTTTGAATTCATAGGGCAGGGTATAGGGTGGAAAAAAGTCCGGTCTGTAAAAAAAATCTTAAATATCCCATAACTTTTTGGTGACTAAAGCTACAGATCTAAAAACTAAAGTTTTGGAAAGCCCTTGAAAATGCATGTATGAAACATGTGTCACACTTTTATATTTGTTTAAAACAAAAAATATTTTTTTCTTCATCTTTTTAAGCCCAGGCTATAAATAGATTCCGACCCCCCCAGCCTTTATAGGGGCAAAGAAAATTAAGCAATATTAATTTTTGTGACATTCTTTGATAAAAGATCTTTCTAAAATTCGTTGACAATTATCTCTTAAATCTTTAAAATTGTAGATTTAAAAAAAGTTCTTTTCGTTTAGAAGGCTGCTTCTCCGAAATGAGTGAATTTGATCCAATCTTTCAGCAGTTCAGGTTTTGGTTTGAGGTAGATACTTTTATATTCAGGTTTTGGTTTGAGGTAGATACTTTTATATTCAGGTTTTGGTTTGAGGTAGATACTTTTATATTCAGGTTTTGGTTTGAGGTAGATACTTTTTTATTCAGGTTTTGCTTTGAGGTAGATACTTTTATATTCAGGTTTTGGTTTGAGGTGGATACTTTTATATTCAGGTTTTGGTTTGAGGTAGATACTTTAATATTCAGGTTTTGGTTTGAGGTAGATACCTTCATATTTAGGTTTTGGTTTGAGGTACACACTTTTATATTCAGGTTTGGTTTGAGGTAGATACTTTTATATTCAGGTTTTGGTTTGAGGTAGATACTTTAATATTCAGATTTTGCTTTGAGGTAGATACTTTAATATTCAGATTTTGCTTTGAGGTAGATACTTTTATATTCAGGTTTTGCTTTGAGGTAGATACTTTTATATTCAGGTTTTGCTTTGAGGTAGATACTTTTATATTTAGGTTTTGATTTGAGGTAGATACTTTTATATTCAGGTTTTGGTTTGAGGTAGATACTTTTATATTCAGGTTTTGGTTTGAGGTAAATACTTTTATATTCAGGTTTTGGTTTGAGGTACATACTTTTATATTCTGGTTTTGGTTTGAGGTAGATACTTTTATATTCAGGTTTTGGTTTGAGGTAGATACTTTTATATTCAGGTTTTGGTTTGAGGTAAATACTTTTATATTCAGGTTTTGGTTTGAGGTACATACTTTTATATTCAGGTTTTGGTTTCTTTTATATTCAGGTTTTGCTTTGAGGTAGATACTTTTATATTCAGGTTTTGATTTGAGGTAGATACTTTTATATTCAGGTTTTGCTTTGAGGTAAATACTTTTATATTGAGGTTTTGGTTTGAGGTAGATACTTTTATATTCAGATTTTGGTTTGCGGTAGATACTTTTATATTCAGGTTTTGGTTTGCGGTAGATACTTGTATATTTATCTTTTTTTATAAAAAATATTTACTTCAACACTTGTCAAGCTAAAGAAACAACTGCATCTTCATAATGTTTCTCAGCTATTGAACGTAAATGGAAGGTTTACTTGAAACCACAATAAAAGTTCTTATAATACAATCAAAATGTTAAAAATATAGTTGATTTCATAATACAATTTCTGACACTAACGCAATTATTACATAGTTTGTCCCGTTATATGATTGTATAATTATATCTAAGTTATATGATAGTAAGATTGTAAACCTTTCCAATTAGAACTTTCCAGGGCCAATCTATCTCGTGTTCAATATTCTTTACCATCTCATTATATTACCGTAAATATCGATCTTTTTACAGTGATAACCAGAAATATGTGGAATAAGAAGACGACATTTTTGCAATACTTATAAACTTAAATGGGTCGGTTTTCTTTAAACTTTATAGTTTTTGTGCCATATGTTCATTTAATGTCATAACATAATTCTAAAAAGTTGCCTCTAAATCTACCAATTAAAAAACAAAATATCCGCCAACCTTTTCTATGGTTATTATTTTTTTATAAGAAGAAATTGATAGGTCAGCAACATAAAGCCAAGTATATTACTATGGGTCTACACTACAAATAAGATCGATTTCGGAACATCAAATATTAAGTCAAATACTATTTTAGGGAGTACTTAGTACATTAGTCGGAGTCCTGGGCTTCTCTGGAAATTTGACTGCAGTTCTAATCCTACTTCTGGTAAAGAAAAGCACTTTTATTGCTTAGTTAATGGAAACTTTTTATTTTTTTTTCGCTCGGTTTTCAATTTAGTTTAGAGGCCTTGTACATTTTCAATTTTATAATTGGCATTACTGACAATAGTGACTTTTCATTTTGGAAATGCACGGTTTTTTTTTCTTTAAATTTGATTTCTGATCAAACAATGAGAATACTGTTTTTTGATAATGGAAAAAGGGGGTTCCATTCAATAATATTTTTATCCAATTATTATATTTTAATTTAGGTCAAATCAAAAACAACATTTGTCTACCTCATTCTCTCTCTCTCATTGGTTGATGCTCTCTTTATCGTTACATCAGTATTGGACGTGAGGTATGCTCAGTGGATGGGTGAATAGAGGGATATGGGAGGTTGCTTCGCGCCTATCTTCTATTTCAACTTTTAATTGTGACTTTATCTATGAGCATCTTCTCTTTATACAGTATAAAACAAAAACAAAAAAAGTTTGCGGATTTCATAATATTTTTCGCGCATTTTCAACATTTTACAAAAATAAAAACTTTTAAATACAAATTTTTAAATTTTAATCATCCATAAACCTCCCCTGGGAACAAATGAGGTCCCACACAAAATTTGGACCCTATCGATTCAGTCGTGATATTAAAGAACCAAAAGCATTTTACATTTTACATTTACATTTGAACAAAATTTGAGATCCCATCCATTCTGATTTAAAATTATAAAAAATTAAAATTTTTTTTTTTTCTTTTTATCTTACGAGCAAAAGGCAAAGTAAAAAAATAAAAAAGAAAAAACAGGCCAATGGAAAAAGAATAGTCAAGGGGAAAACAGAAGAAATTAAATGGAAAAGTAAAAGAGAAATATATTGAAAAGTGGAAGAAAATAAGTAAAACTAACAAGGAAAAACAACAGAAAGTATGAGGAGAAAAATGAAATGAAATGCTAGGGGGCTCGCGGGGGGTAAGGAGTTTAAAAGTTGAAGAAATATAATGGAAAGGATAAGGAGAAACTAAAAATATTAAAAGTAGGACAAGTAAAATAACATCTTCTAAATTAATTGTGAATAATTTTCTCTTTGTGTACATCGTAAAACAAAACAAAAATAATTCGCGGATTTTCACAAAAAATTTCGTGGATTTTCAAAATTTAAAAAAATTTAATGAAGATCGAATTTTGATGGAGACAAATATTTAAAATTTCAATCATTCATAAACCTTCCCTGGGGTCCCTAGATGTCCCACAAAAAATTTGGGCCCGATCGGTTTAGCCGTTTTGACGTTTATTGGATACAAACAGACAGACAGACAAACAAACAGACAGACAAGCCAAATTTATATATAGATTAACAGTTAACACGTTAGATGGTTTTTTATATTAGGACAAATCTGATAAGGGCTCAAATCATCAAGGTGTAGATTGTATTTTATCAAAGTGCTGAACTTTTTTGTTGTTGCATACTTTAAGATACTAAATCCTAAAAGTTGTGTGCATAAATTTCAACAGTTTAGGGTGCTAAATTCTTGTCTCAAATTTTTTTTCTCTTCCAATTCTTATATTTTTGAAATTTTTGAAAATGTTAAATCAAGTTTTCATGGTTTGGAAAATTAAAGATTTACACCATCAGGTGTCAACAATTTAAGGATTTGAAAATTAGTGTTTAAATTACTTAATTTTTAAATTGAATAAAAGTTAAATGTTTTAAAATATTGCAGCATGATTGGAGTGTTCGAATGGCCTATCAGTTCAAAGAGCGGCCTTTATAACAGGTGCATAACTTTATATTTATATATATACTATAAAAAAAAACTTACTTAAAAAAAGGACAAAGTGAGTAACGTAAAAGGTTAAAAATCCAAAAAATCTGCAAAAAAAGAAAAAAAAGACACAGTATCCATAATATTATTATTATAGATGGTACAGCATAAGATTGAGAAATTCTAAATTTTATAAATATATATCTACAGATTAAAACAGTTATATTTTGTTTAGTGTGTTTCCAATCTACATGAGGACTCTGAGCGGAATCCTAGTCTCTGCTAGTATCCATCTTACTGTAGCAATCTCCATCGAGAGGTGTGTATCCATATTACATTCATGATATCCATGTTTTCAGAAATAATCTTTGAAACGACATTATAGATTGTAAAAATTAAAGGATTTGACAATTTTGGTTTTTATGATTATTAATTAGAAAAAAATTATAAAAACTTAAATTTTGACACAACATATACAATTAAATGTCTGCTAATCGAAAATCTTGAACAATAAAAATTATTATTTTAAGTATTTTTTTTTAGGTTTATCGCAGTTTGCCGCCCTCTGTACTATCTACAACAAGCCAGAACTAACATATATCTACATTGATTTTGATCTGACGAATGATTTCTTGTTTTAACGATAATATACTTCATTTTATAATCACTAATAACTAATCTAATATTTGATATTGAATTAGTTTCCTTAATTTGGTATAAGAATTATATAAGTATACAAGAATTAATTCAGAAAATTTGCCGCGTTTTTATTTTTTTTATTTTCTTACATTACGGTTTAAAAAGACCCATGCATGATTCACAGCGGAACCCTTCAAGCCTTTTCCTAAACAAAAGCTGGAATGAAAATATTAAAGTTAAAAAAATATGCATATTTCATTCATTCGCGATAAAAGAAAACTTTAAAGGGTATCATTGTGAATAGGACATACCAATCTACAATTAAACGGCTGTTTTAAATTACGCATACAGTCTTGGACAATTTATTTGGTTTCCCTTTTCCTCATTGTAACAATCATCATTATAGATTATTAACATTAATAATTATTTATCGTTATTAATAATTATTTATCATTATTTAGGGAATCCATCGAATCTATCCTGAAGGGTACCAATATTACTCTCAACCTGGAACATGTAAGATTTATTTTTAAACTGCTTTTTACACATTTATTTCGAATTTTAATTCTAAATTTAAAATACAAAACAAAAGATGATAGTAACTGCTTGACATTTTAATATTCATAGTTGACTGTACTACATTTCTTCCATTTATACATGAGCATATGCACTAACTACACAAAAGAAGCTGTCAAATGTATACGACATTATTGCGAAAATATATGCGAAAAATGAAATAGGGTATAAGCTCACGACGAAAAATTATCGCTTATAATCGTTACTAATCTTACTTCGCTCTGATGCGTCTATAAGGAGAAAATTGTTAAAAACTACTTATACTGAAGAACGTTGCGTCCATGTCCAATACAAATTCGGAAAGTTGCAATATTCGACTCGGATCGTAAAAAAATCAATTTGATTTCAAACAGATCATTCAGATATTACAACCTATAGTCATCGTTATTTTTCGACGCAGTCATATATAGTTAATATTTCACAATATTTTTTATTTGTTTCGTACACAATGCACTTCAAATGCCAAAATAGTTGGCCGTCTGATGTCTCTGTTCTTGATGCTTTGAACACGTGGCAGAGATACCTAGCGGAAAAAAATAGTTTTAAGTACATCGTATATAAAACAAATAATACATATTATGAAATATTAACTATATACAAATGTTTCGAAAAATAAGCGATAACTATAGATTGTAATATCTGAATGATTTGTTTTAAATATAATTGATTTTTTTACGATCCGAGTCATATATTGCAACTTTCTAAATTTGTATGGGCGCTAGGTTCTTCAGTATAGGTCGTTTTTAACAATTTTCTCCTTACAGACGCAGCAGATTGAAGTAAGATTAGTAGCGATCAAAAGCGATTATTTTTTGGCGTAAGCCTATACCCCCTGTAATGTTTCGCGAGCACTCCCTTTAAAATTAAAATCATGTAATAATCTATATTGTGCAAATGTCCAATTTACTTTAGTTTACCGTGAATGAAAAAAAGGGTTTTAGACATTTTTGAAAAAGAATTTTATAAAACTCTTTTGGTTCAACATAAACCTTACCATAGAACAAGGAAGAATCTTTTATTTTCAAAGTAATGGGAATTATTCATTTTTTGCCACGTCCTCATTAATTATAGTTTAAAGGTCTTAATATAAAAATATATGTATAAATATATATATAATATAATATATATATATATATATAAATATAGTTTATATCAAGGTACTAATGCAAGGAAAGTTAATTGGGGTCGCGTATACTCTGCGTACATATTGAAACCAGTTCTCTCTGGGTGGAATTTGTAAACAAGAATAGTTGCATCAGTGTTCGTTAGTATCCGAGGAAGATAAAAGCATTTGATTATGAAAATTCACATAATTGTTTCCTATGACCAGAATATTTCATAGATTATTTTTGTGAAAATTGAGTCCATGTCAGGCTGTGACATCCGTCTTGGGTTTACTTTTCCGCCCAAAGACAGTACACTGCAGTACAAATAATGCGTACACCTCTGAAATAACTTTTCCTTGCATTAGTACCTTGGTTTATATAAAAATAAAAATAAAAAAATATTTTTTTTTCTTAGGAGTCTTATCAAGTCCTCTCTCCACTTCGAACTAATGGACTGTACAGACTTTTCTACATCAATATTACTAGGTAATTATAGTAATAATAATAATAATAATACAAATATCAATAATGCATCTATTTCATATACATAAATGTTAGTTATTACAATGATGAGTGTCGAATTGGTAACAATATGTTAATTAGATCATGCTTTTCTTATTCATTTTCTGGAAATGAAGGCGGTAAATTCATTAATGTAAAAGATAAAAAATTATTTATTTATGAAATATAACAAAAACATTATATTTAATATTTAATATAAAATATCTAAAAATCTCTAAAAATAGAGGTTGTATGAATATGTCCCCCCAATTCTAAAAAAATATAAAAATAGAAATAAAAGGAAAAGGAAAGGAAAGGATAAAGAAGTTACATATTTATTGTTTACACTATATTTAATATAAACTAGTGGTGGATTGTTAGTATTTTTCGACGATGAACTAACAACTTCTAGAATTAAAATTATAGATTTATTTTTAATGTTAAAAAAAAGTAAAAAAAGCTTTATGGAGTGTTAAAGAGATATAGGTTCTATAATTTAAGTAAAATATGTCAAAAATAATAATTTAGGGTCGTCTTTACTGGTGTTCTCCCCATCTGTCTGCTATTCTGCTTTAACATCATGATCAGAAACGTAAGTAAATTCTCATAACTTATTCATCTTCACAAAAAAAAAGATTTTTATCTTATCGCCAAAAAAACAAGACTAATGTCTTATTCGAGTTCAAGCGTTGTAAATTTTTGATTTTTTTTTTGTACAAAAGTTCTTTAGGTTTCTTGAATATTAGGTCGGACTTTATCATTTTTAAAACTAGAATAACTAATGACTGGTTAATCTACTTCTTAAATTCTCCACCGACTAAAAAACAAATTCAACCCAACGTACTTGTTTATTTAAAGGGACTGTACGCGTAATTTCACTCCATAGAAAGATAGTCACTCCTGTATGCCAAGTCCGTTAGCGCCTCATCCAATCAGGGTTCAGTCATGTGTTTGTTGTCTAGAAAAAGTTACTGTCGCAAAGAAGCTGCTAATGAAAATTAACAATTTATCGAAACAAAAACATTGATATCTAATACATGCCGTTGTAAATCGGGCATTGCCATCTTTGCACGTAGGGTCACTTGAAATTACTCGTACAGTCCCTTTAATTCATACTTCTCTGGTTTGTAGCGGCCAAACTCTGTTACTCGCGAATGCCGCAATAAATTATAAGAAGAGAGAGACTTTCTGGGCCGCGCACTGCGGCAAGGACAGGCTAGGGGGTCGAGCGCAGCGGCTAGGAGGCCGAGCGCCGGGGCTAGAACTGGCTGTCTCTCTGTCTTATAATTCATTGCGATATTCGCGAGTAACACAGATTGTACACTGCCTTTCACTTGTTATTAAATTTAGTTTTTGAAATTGAATAATTCGGTGTTGAAAACAGTTGTACAAAAACCTAATAAAGTCTCTTTCAGATTTCGTTTCCCATTGAATCCCATTAAAAAATTGCCAACGTACTAAACAATAACAATCAAAAAAATATATTGGATTTTTCTGAAGAAATCACCAGTCCACTTTTTAGAGAGCATTTTAAAATGTTTCTCAGCTAGTTGCCTAGAAATAAAACAAAAAGAATTCTAAAAATTAATTTAAACTAAAATATGCAAATTTCTGAAAATCTAAAAAGTTCAATTATTATGCAAGGTTCACTTTGTCACTTTTTCTCCCTATTTTTCAGCATATAAATCACTTTTAAATTGTGGAGGAACCGCAATTGAAAATGATCAAATTTTCATAGATAAAAAACATTTTAATGTGAATCGGACATGCCTGATTTTGCTATCAGTCCCTTTAATGATATATATATTCAGGGTATCCGGTATACTCATGTCCGAACCCGGCAAACCAGGCGAGATGTTTCTGAAGCCTGGACCCTCATCATTCTTGTTAAGATATTTATCATCTGCCATCTTCCCAGGTAACATCCATCAATCAATCAATCAATATATTTATCAATCAATCAATCAATCAATCAATCAAAGATTCAACCAATCAATACAAGTTTAACAACTGACAGTTGGAAGAAAAAATCAAGTCAATGTAAAGACTTATATCAACGAAAATATTCATCAAATTACATTATTAATCAATCAACAAAAAAATCAATCAATAATCAATCAATTATCTAGATTGATCCTGAACATTGTGGAGGAGGTTGTGATGTTGAAGTGCACCTACAGAACCCTTCCGGTCTGGTTCAATTATCTCATCAGGTACTAATCCACCAATACTAATTATTCTCAAATTAATCTCATCAGAGGGGGGTGATTCATCCGATGTACTGTCCCTCTTAACATTCTATCTATCTATCTTAAAAAAAATCCACCAATAGGAGAAAAGTAATGAAATAAGGGCGGAGATATCAAACGGACAGAATTACTACTAATCATACTGAGGTGAATAGAGGGGGGGGAGTCTATTCTTCTTAAAAAAGAAAGAATTTATCCTGTATCCGAATTTAATGAATTTAAGCCGCGTCTCAAATCCCCCAAACCCGGTTTCAATTAAGCACCGGCTTAAATCTGAGCTGCGCGGCTCAAATTCTTTAAATTCGGTCTCTGATTATCTTAAAGAAAAGAAAAAGAAGTATTTCTTTTGTTTACAATCTTACGATGTCATAAATGATAAAAAATAATATTTTTATTTGTTTAGTTTGAGCCACTTCCTGATCATCTTGTCATCTAGTCTCAGCTTTATAGTGTACTGTATCTTCACAGGTTAGTGTTTCTACTTATTTATCAATAAAAGGACTGTTTACAGAATTATAGTGTACTGTATCTTCACAGGTTAGTGTTTCTACTTATTTATCAATAAAAGGACTGTTTACAGAATTATAGTGTACTGTATCTTCACAGGTTAGTGTTTCTACTTATTTATCAATAAAAGGACTGTTTACAGAATTATAGTGTACTGTATCTTCACAGGTTAGTATTGTTTCTACTTATTTTTCAATAAAAGGACTGTTTACAGAATTATAGTGTACTGTATCTTCACAGGTTAGTGTTTCTACTTATTTTTCAATAAAAGGACTGTTTACAGAATTATAAGTGATCCATGGATGAATATTTCTGTCTGAAATTTTATATCTTTTTTTATTTCGCACTCCTATAATAAGTGGACTTTTGCTGGAGAGACATTGTAAAAAATTGTCGTTTTTATTTCTAATTAAATATCTGGGTAAAAGTTGAGAATCTGGCATTTAGCGTTTAGTTTATATTTATAAAAAAAAATCCTTTTCGCCTTTTTCTCTTTCGTCTTAATTTTTCTCATGCAGTTGACGAGGCTTTCTTTAATTTAGTTGTTAATTTTAGAAAAATCAAATCAAAATCAAAGCATTAAGACATTGACCATATTCAACGTCGAAAAAGGCAAGAAAATATAAAAAATTGTCTTATTCCGGCCCCAAGAAGAAATTCCAGAAATGTTCAGTTTAAGGTTGAACGTTTAATACAAATCTGTAATTCAATTAGTCTCTTTTTTAGTTTAATCATCAATATTCTTTTTCCATTGATGATATTTTCTTTGTAATATGTATTTGTTTGTTAGCATAATTAAGAAATTCCCGTCAATCCTAAAACATGTTGAAAAAAGGAATTGAGTCCTTGCCACAGAATCGAATTTTCGAATACCTATATCTTTGGAACCGGATTGTTAACACCTTTGATATTTCAAACTATTTGATCTAGTAAAATTCTTAGTTTAAAATATCTCAGGCCTACGACAATCTGGATTGTAAAGATACAGGGATTAGAAAATCAGAGTTTGTGACAAAGACTCAAGTTTTTTGATCGATAGACACATAGATTAATAACTATATAGATAGAACACTAGATGTCGTCTTTTCAAAATATAGGGGTTTTTCGTTCACAATAACCCCGAGGCAGAAGCCCAATGGCCCTCAGGGTTATTGTGAACGAAAAAGCCCTTTATCTTGGACAGTCGAAATCAGGTGTTCTATCTGTATTGTTATTAATCTATGGATTAAACCTTAAACATTCTTAAATATTGTTTTTTCTTAGCTCCGTTTAAAGAGGCTGCCACTGCTGTTATCAACAGGTTCAAATCTAGACCTCAGTCCGCCCAGCAAATGCAAATGGTAAAATTTGTTTGATGTTTTATATCTCAAAATTACACTTGACTGCAGCTTGACAGCAAACATATCGTAAGGCATAAAAGTAAAAATAAGCAACAGTTTTTTATCGAAATTTGAGAGAATAATTACTCTTCAAATAAAAGTAATCCTATTTGAGAGTATTAAACTACTTCATTTAATATTTAAACAGAAAAATAAAATAAAATTTTTATATCTACCAAGACACACAACAATTCTCCCAAGAAATGTTCATAAGAGGAACTCGTGTTAAGGATCATTAAGTATTCGCCACAAACTGAAATTTTCAATTTGTTTTATCTTTGCAACCTAATGGTGTAAACCTTTAATTTTTTTGATCAAGCAGAATTTATAGTTTGAAATATCTAGAGTCTCCCACATTGGAATGCAAAGAATTGGGATTAGAAAATAAGAGTTTGTGGCAAACACTCAATTTTCTTGTTTCTGTTACAAGTCAGATTGATATATCTAAGCAATTGCAGTTGTTTGTTTACAATAAAACTAGTTTTCAAGCTGTCTTTATACGTCACAGTGGAATGTAAACATCCCCCTCTTCTATACCTCTTTAATAAAAACAAAACCCTATTCCCAAAAATACGTAGTTTTACGTAATTGCTGGTTACATTACGTAAAATAAAATTTCCCTTCAAATATTTCTATTTGAAAATGTTCAGGTGTGCTCCACAATGGTGAAGAGCACAAGATCTACAGTCCAAGAGGATAACCAGGAAGATGAACAAGAAGACCAAGCCTAACAAGAGGATAACAAGGAAGATGAACAAGAAGACCAAGCCTAACAAGAGGATAACCAGGAAGATGAACAAGCAGACCAAGTCTAACAAGAGGATAACAAGGAAGATGAACAAGAAGACCAAGCCTAACAAGAGGATAATAAGGAAGATGAACAAGAAGACCAAGCCTAACAAGAGGATAACAAGGAAGATGAACAAGAAGACCAAGCCTAACAAGAGGATAACAAGGAAGATGAACAAGAAGACCAAGCCTAACAAGAGGATAACCAGGAAGATGAACAAGAAGACCAAGCCTAACAAGAGGATAACAAGGAAGATGAACAAGAAGACCAAGCCTAACAAGAGGATAATAAGGAAGATGAACAAGAAGACCAAGTCTAACAAGAGGATAACAAGGAAGATGAACAAGAAGACCAAGCCTAACAAGAGGATAACAAGGAAGATGAACAAGAAGACCAAGTCTAAAAAAACTCAGGAGCTGGATAAAATGGCCTGCCACCGAACTTATACTTTTATTAAAAATGTTATTGGAAATAATTACTGCTTGAACCTCTATTCAATTTGAAAATATTAAAAACTACTAAATGTGTATGGATTTATCATATGTATACTGTTTGATGTTGAATTTACTGTTGTCTATTATTGTCATGTTATTTTATAACCGTCCAGAACTGCTAAATTAGCGATCTATAATATATAGTTTTATTCAACTTATTGTGATTTGTACATGTTGTTGTAATGGAATATTTATGTGCATTGTTTTTTATAATAAAAATTATAAGAAATTAAATTTTTATCAGAGAAAGAGATATAAAACGCAATGCTCCAAATTAAACAAAAAGTATTTAATAATTTGCAGGAATTTATTTAAACATGCAAAAATTATATAAACATAAAACTGTGAACGTAATTTCAAGATTTCCATTCACAATTCTTAATAGATACCCTTAAAATTTTTAAGCAAAATGAAATGATAAACTCATCCTTGTATTTTCTTTGAAAATTGGTGATTTGCAATTTTGGTGTTTTCTATAATTGGAAAAGAATTTCTTAATAATTCTTAGCAAAATTAAGGGAAATTTATTGAGATAATAAAAAAAATTTAAATCTACCTAAAAGGTTCCATTTAACGTTTTGTTATGATATTAAAAAATGTTGAAAACTTGTAGAACTTCATATGCCCCTTGTTTGCCGTTTACCCCCCAAAAAATCTAGAATCTAGATGTATATCATTCTTTTATCAACTACTAGCTTGGGAAACCAGCATTGCCATGCAAGGGGAGTCCATAGTCAGTCCCATCGCACTATAGTTTTAGTAGAAGCAAATATTTCCATTTACTGATAGAGCTGATTGAAGGATTCATAACTCTAATTGGATAATGAGCTGATTGAAGGATTCATAACTCTAATTGGATAATGAGATAGATAGAACGATAGATGTTACCGCTATACTATTTCTATTGGTACAGAATAGACAACAAACACATGACTCAACCCTGATTGGATCAGACGCTAATGAACTCGGCATATAGGAGTGACCGTTTATCCGCCCTTTGTCGTAAATTACTATTTTAGATATCCTTCGCGTTAAAATCAAATCAAAATTAGAGGCAAATCAGTACAGTGGTTTCTGAGTTATGATCGGACAAACAGAGATTACAACTTTATATATATAGATAACTCTTCAGTAGAGTGTTTAAAACAATATTATTACACTTTTCATTCCCTGACATTTATATTACAACATTATATCTTTCTGTTTTTAACAATGGATTTTCAAAATTTTTGACAAATTCTCAAATTTCTATCGTCTGGGAAAAAATTTGGCTTGTTGGGTTCAACCGTTATGAGATTTATTAGATACAGACAGCGTGTGCGACAAGCTTGTCTATTTGTCCGTCTGTTTGTTTGTATCCAATAAACGTCAAAACGGCTGAACCGATCGGGCCCAAATTTTTTGTGGGACATCACGTGACCACAGGGAAGGTTTATGAATGATAAAAATTTTAAAAAACTTATTTTAAAGGTTTTTAATTTTGTAAAAAAATTTAAATTCTTGAAAATCCGCGAATTTTTTTTTTAAATCCGCAAAATTTTTTTCTTCTTTGTTTTAAAATGTAAACAAAAAGAACATGTTGACAATTTAGATAGAAGATGGGCGCGAAGCGCCCTAAAAGCCTAGTGTGTATATAAATATATATTCTATTCTAATATAAATATATTATTCTATGCTGTGAACAAAAGAGAACCAAGATAAGTTTACAATGTTATCTAATAATATGAATACCGAGCTGGAAACTTTATGTTGGAAACTCATTATCCAGATTGCTTAATCTTGATATCCACTGTGGACACTTTTAAATTGAGGATCAATTAAGAACGGTGTTATGTATTATCCCAAAGACATTTTCTCAAGGGGGACTTCCAAAGTGACAATTTCCCAACTATGATATGCCACTCAGTTTAATATAATATTAATTTATTCATTGTATATCGTATCTTTCTAAGAGAAACCCAGATAACTTTATGTTATTCTAAAGTTTAAAGTATTTTTCAATTTTGTGATAACTTTATTCTTCAATATTTGATTGTGCACAAAGATAAACAACAATACAGATAGAACAAGATTTAGGGGTTTTTCGTTCACATAACTCTGAGGTAGATGACCAAAGGAGTTACGCGCAAAAGTATAAAAATAAGTATGATATTAGATCACGTCATTAAGTAGCGAAAAGCCTGAAAAATATTTTAATGATTTAATCCCTGATTTTCAGAGCAGCAGTTAAAAGCTAAAATCTATATATGCACTTTACTTGTCTGTTTTGGTGTCTGTCTGTCTGTTTGTATCCAATATACGTCAGAACTGCTGAACCGATCGGGCCCAAATTTTGTGTGGGGCCATGCATTACCCCAAGAATGGTTTATGAATGATCAAAATTTGAAAAAATTGGCTCCAACAAAATTCGATTTTAATTAAAGAAATTGAGTTTTTAGTGTAAACTCAAAAATTCGAATCCCTATATCTATAAAATCTGATGACTTAAGCCTTTGATATTTTAATATAAGATTATTTGATCTGACAAATTTAAAATTTAAAGTATCAAAGGTATACGCCATCGGGTTCCAGAGATATAAGGATTTAAAGATCCGAATTTGTGCCAAATTTTTTTTTAAATCCGCTAACTTTTTTTTTGTTTTGTTTTACAATGTATACAAAGAGAAAATATTCACAATGAAGCGAAAGATTGGCGTGAAGCGCCCTAAAAGCCTATAGTTATATTTATGCTTGTCCATCTGTCTGTTTGTGGCCAATCAACGTAAAAACAGCTGAACCAAACGGACCCAAATTTTTTTTATGGGACCTTACTTGACCCCAGGGAAGGTTTCTGAAACATCAAAATTGAAAAATATTCCTGAAAAATCCACCGATTTGAAAGAAATCCGCCAAAATTTGAAATGATTTAAAATGGCCGACTTTCAGAGCAACAGTTAAAAGCTAAAACTATTTTCAGGAAAAAGAGCACGAAGAGCTCTAAAAGCCTAGTTCAGTAAAAAAATGCAAGACAAATTCAGACTACAAGGTCATTTTACCCTGAAAATAGATTTTAAACTTTCGATTTTATGATGTTAATTCGAACGATGCATGCAAGCTTTAAAAGATTCGATTAAAGTTTTCTCAGATTTGGCAAAGCTTGTGAATTATACTATCAAACGAAGGTTTTCTAGTACCCCATACTGCAGTACACTCATTTTGCAATCAATGATATGTTTGGAGGGGATTTTGACCCAATTATCATCTGACTTAGTTTTTTATCAGTAGTGAAAGTTTCGCCGCTTAGAAGTGAAAGCAGTGAAAGCTGTGATTTCAAGAAATGTGTTTTGTAAGAAAATTTGAATTAGAAGAATCAAGAATGAATGAGATATTCATGCTTTTCTCTGTGAAAATAATTGAAAAATTGCAAGATAAGTGATTTATCATATATAGGAATTTTAAAAATTATTTTAATCCATTGAAAAGTATTTTATGATTAAACTTGGTTTTTAGATCCAAATTTTGAAAAGAGTTTATTTTCATTAAAATGACTAAAAAGTAGTTTCATGTGACCCTTCGATTAACTCAACTTAGAATCTCAAAACCAAGCTAAGAAATTTGCGTGGATCTTCCGAGTTCCCCAATCAAAATTTGAGGCAAATTGGTCCAGGGGTCCCTGAGTTATGATCGGACAAACAAACAGATATTTGATACATATTTTCATCTTATTTAATGAATTAGATTAATGTTTATCTAATTAAACATCTTGTCAAACCCCATAATAGATTCTACACTGAACTAATTAAACATCTTGTCAAACCCCATAATAGATTCTACACTGAACTCTCCAGTACTGAGCATTAGAGCTCACCTCAAATTCTAGTGACAGGGTTTATAAATTATATAATAGATTCTACACTGAACTCTCCAGTACTGAGCATTAGAGCTCACCTCAAATTCTAGTGACAGGGTTTATAAAGTTTTACATTTCTTAATTTTCCAAGGAAAATTCCATTTTGATAAACTTAATTATCAAATCTATCTTGATTTCTAATAAATTCCATTCTTTTAGATCAATAATTTTCTATTTATTTACCATAATTTGAACAGAGCTGAAAACTTTAGAATGGTGAATATCGGGATTAATCCTCTCTTTTTGATAATCTCAAGATTAACATAATCTTGCAAGATTATCTAAAAAGTGTATGAAAAACGATAAAATTCAAATTAATATTTAATCATCTGAGAAACTGTAGCAGCCAATCAGAGAAAAGCGGGCAACCAATGAGAGAACAGAAATATTCTCATTGGAGAAAACAATTAACGGATGTCCAAGAAGAGAGAAAAAGAGTGGATTAAGGACAAAAATGAAAAGTTTCCACAGTGGATATTCGGATCAAGAAGTCAGGATTAAAGTTTATCCATTCTAAAGTTCTCAGCTCATGAAAGTCAACTTCTCCATTTCTGCAAAATGCTTAAAATTCTAGCTCAATTCGGTTTCCGTTCTAGCTCTTCAAAGTTAATTTTTCCAAAGTCCAAAAGTCCAAAAAAAATGTATACAAAAATAAGATTAAATATTTGGCTTTTAAAAAATATAAATTGGATTGCAAAATATACGCTAACAACATCGATTTCATTATTTTACTTATCAAAATTCTCAACAAAGTTCTAATTAGATCTTAACTTTATATGCGATTCTCAAGAAATCTATAAGAAAACTTGTTTATGACAAATTAATATCCTGCACTCATAATAATTTGTTCTAAAAATAGTTATTTAATTATATAGTTCCACCATCTCTTCAATACCATAACACTATCACTAACATAATACTAAGGGCTAGATTAGTACTGTTAATTATGTAAATGTACTCCAATATGGTGTTTAGTTCTTTCCCAAATGCATTTTTCCAAGGACAACATCCCCCAAGTGACAGTTTCCCAAATGGCAACTTCCCAAATGTGCAATTTCCCAAGTGGCTACATCTCAAAGGTTAGGTTAGGCCCTCTGAGGTGCCGCAGGCTGCAATGGGGGCCAAGGGCTGCAGCTAGGATGGGCTAGGGGGCTAAACCCCGCAGCTAGAACAGACTGGGGGCCAAGGGCTGCAGCTAGGATGGGCTAGGGGGCTAAACCCCGCAGCTAGAACAGACTGGGGGCCAAGGGCTGCAGCTGGGATATACTTGGGAATTCGCAGCTTGGGAGACTCATTGTTTTGGCAGCAGAGAGCTATCTTTAAATTTAATTATAGCGGTA